TATCATCAATTTGCGTAGAGCTTATATCTTCTTGGCTGAATTCAAGATGATGACTAGAAGAATAAATGATATTCCCAACACATTTCTGCACTTAAGTTGCTACATGTTATAGATCGGGTTCAGCAGAAAACAGACTGTGAAACGGATGCAGGTGGATTCCCAGGGAGCGGCCTCCAGGAGGGAGCAGAGAGGTGTGTCAATTTGTGATAGAGTCACAGTAAGTTCCTCAGCCCGTCCCAAAAAGGGTGCTTTAGCTGAGATGACTTCAGAGCTGGCACCAACTGGGCAAGGAGCCTGGCCTTTGCACGCTCCACCACCGACCCGTCACTGGGTGGTGTCTGCCCCAGGCAGGGCATAGCCTGGGACCAGGAAGCTCCTTTTTATCAGGGAAATACCTGAGTGTGGTTTTCTGGCACTGCCAGAGCAAATTACCACAGCCTTGGTGGCCCCCTGCACCAAAAGATATGTCCACAGCCTAAACCCTGGAAACTACGACTTTATTTGGAAAACAAAGGTCTTGCAGATGTAATAAAGATCTTGAGATGAGATTATCCCGGATTATCTGGGTGGGCGGTAAAGCCAACATGGAGCGTCCTTACAAGAGACACACAGAGGAGAGATGTGGAGAGGAGGAGAGAGGCCATGCGAAGGTGGACGCAGAGACTGGAGTGACAGGAACAAGTCGAAAAACGTCCGGAGCTACCTGTCGCTGGTGAGGCAAAGAAGGAGTCTCTCCTGGAGCCTTTAGAAGGAGCAGGCGGGACTCCTGTCCTCCAGAGCTAGGAAGGAATCCACTTCTGTCGTGCGTTTTTCTGTTGTGGTCCCCTGGGAAGGACTGAGTGGTGCCCTGCGCGGGCCACGGTGCCCACGGCTGGAAAGAAGTGCCTTGGTTTTGAGACGAGGGATCCGAGAGGTGCGCCCGGCCCCACCCACCACAGGGGCAAGCCTTCTTCAAGAGGGTCACTGTGTGTAACACAGGCTCTGTCCTGCGGTAAATGCTCGTCCGTATTTACCTGTCATTCAGCACGCTTTCGGGGAGCACCTGCTATTGCCAGGGACAGGGAGGGGCTTTTGGCATGCCAGAGAGGATGGGAACAGTCACTGCCCTCAAGTAGCTCAGAGAGGGTTAGACAAAAAAGAAATGTTTAAAAGGCCCTAAGTGTTTGGTGGTGACAGACTCTCAGGCAAGTAAGGACTGCAGCCTGAGGTCAGGGAGAGGACAGAGAGCCCTGCACCCAGTCCCCGAGGAGGAGACCTGGCGGGTGCAGTGAGGAGCTAGAGCGGGCAGCAGGTGCGCAGAGGGAAGCCCTGCGGCGCCCTTGGGGCGGGTCGCAGCCTTGCATCTGGGCGCAGGCGGGGACGGACACCAGCCTTGTGGCTAAGGAGTCCGTGCCTCTCACAACCCTGTACAAAACTCCATATCCACTGCTCTCCAAGACCATGTTAGGGTAATAGAAACACTCACGTTTCCTTTTTTAAAATAAGGACATACTTCAAACTCTCTCTCTCTGGATAATGTAACTATTATACAAAGAGGTGAGTAATTGATAACAAAGCAAGTCTAATTTTTAAAACTTTTCTTTCATGGATATACTATATACACATACATGGTTGTACTAGACACGTGTGTGTGTATAATCCTTTAACATTAACCTATCTCTGAGTCTGTGTAGGTTCCCTAATTAGTTTTAGCAAGGAGCAATCTGATGAAAATATTCTTTCTTTTTTGCCAGCATTCATAGTTAAATCTCTTAGTACAAAAGTGCAAACTGTGTAAACACAAGCAGGAGCTGTCTGCCTCTGCATTCCAAGCCCAGCACCATCTGTGCTGACAATAGCTTGACTTAAAAACGATGATCAATCTGTGTTGAAGATCTAAAAGGATTACCAGCAATAAAAGTCTGCCAGGGATGGACCACCATCCTAAAGGCTGGCCACCACTCAAAGTTCATCTCGCTCCTGCTCCCGAAGGTAATTGCAGCATCTGCTTCTTGAAGGAGTCGAAGCCAATCCACGCGGGCTCCTACCGGGTGAATAGCAGCACTACTGGGCGGGCGCAGAGAAAGGGCTGGGAGCCCGGCCGCCCACCCCCAGAGTGCAGCCCCAGGTCAGAAGTGAAGGCGCCAGCAGCTGCCTCTTCAATAGGAGCTTCGGCCCTCCCCAGCGCCTGCACTTGTCCAGGAGCCGCCAGGCAGGGGCTATTGTGTTATTTTTATGCTGTGGGAACTTTGGCCTTAACGACAAATGGACTAGCTTAACTATTAAGTGTCAATCAAAGCTGCCGGGGTGGAGGTGGGGGTGTGGGAGGTGTTAAAATTTTAATTAGTTTGGGCAGTTTTTTGTTTGGTGTTTTTTTCCACTCTGTGATCACCCTAGTTTACTTTGTTTAATTTACTACATTCAAGTTAACAAAATTCCACATGCCTTTTATCACTAGGCTTTTCTTTTCTTTCTGTATTTTCTAGTGGCACTGACCACTGTCTCAGCTCGGGGTGTAGATTCACAGTTTTCTGGTGGCTGTGCACATGCGCGCATTGACACCTGTGGGTGTCCACGCAGGGCACTGGCAGGTCTCACACAAGGAGCGCTTGTGAGAGCCTAAACCAAACCAGCGCTTGGGTTTTTTCCTGTGTTCTGTAACTTGCTCATGAATGAGTTTAGCTTTGAAGAAGAAAAACCATGGGCAAGCAACTAAGAGTAGTAAGTGATTACTCATTTTCTCTTTCTCAAAAAAAAAAAAAAAAATTAAAAATAAGAAATATCTATATGGAGTGCAGTTATGTCAAGATTGCGCCCATGTTGGCCTCTCTGAGTTAGTGTAAAAGACAACAGGAAAAACTTTCATGATGAGGCTCAAAAAATCTCCAGAAGTTTCAGCTCACCGTGGAACCTATTTCACATTTCATTGGTTCTGTGTGTGAACTGTGAGAATCTTTCCTTGGCTTGGAAGTATGAGGACCAAGGTTCATGTGGCAGTGAGTCTACCTGAGCACCAGAAAGCTCACCTGCAAAGCACATTCCAGGTGGCAAGCGCAGTGACCCATCACCATATGGTGACATGAACATATCCCCATTTCCTACCAACCTGCACTTCTCAGACCCTGGCATAAGATGTCCACCTTTTGTTTAAAAAAATAATAATCTATATAAAGAAAAAAAAGGAAAATAACAGGAAAGGAAGCATTCTTAGCCCTGTCAGATAAGTGCAAAATTGGCTTTTACAAATTGGAAGGAAGCTGCATTCAGGGAGTCTGAGGAAACTGCACAGGATGATCTATTTTAGTACTTAGGTATTGACATGATGCACCTAAGATGAATGAAAATAATATCCAGGCTCTAAAAAACCCACATGATCCATATAGCAATGCCCAAGACAACTGTGTAAAATTTTTTCCAATGTGCAAAGTCCAAAATAAATTTAGCAGCTTGATGTTAGCTAATAGAAAAGTGTGGTGAAAGAATTTTAAATGGGAGGGATCTAAAACGAAGAGCTCTTAGTAGAAATATTGGGAGGAGAGACTGGAATTTACCTCAAGGAAAGGTCTAAAAATGTCCTGAATGTCCAACTGCCCCTCGGACATAGCTATGTTGTCGGTAGCCCAAAGTGATGAGCATTCCGATAACTTCCCTTTAAAGTACCTACTATCAAAAAAATTGTGGCCGGGCGCGGTGGCTCACGCCTGTAATCCTAGCTCTCTGGGAGGCCGAGGCGGGCGGATTGCTCAAGGTCAGGAGTTCAAAACCAGCTGAGCAAGAGCAAAACCCCAACTCTACTATAAACACCAAGAAATTAATTGGCCAACTGATATGTATATAAAAAATTAGCCGGGCATGGTGGCGCATGCCTGTAGTCCCAGCTACTCGGGAGGCTGAGGCAGAAGGATCGCTCGAGCCCAGGAGTTTGAGGTTGCTGTGAGCTAGGACGCCACGGCACTCACTCTAGCCTGGACAACAAAGTGAGACTCTGTCTCAAAAAAAAAAAAAAAAATTGTAACAAAACAAAATGGTCAACAACAGGCCAATTAAATACATTATAATGTACATTGTAGGAAGCAGAATAATGAAATTGGAAAATATTCTTGCTATTGTATGTAAAAAGAAATTGCAAAACAGAATCCCATTTTAAAAACTGCTGGCACTACCAGATTAGTACAGAGCTACTTGAGTTCTCCACGAGCATAGAAAAGCAGCTGATATTAGGCAAACCAACATGTTCACAGCAGTTATTACTGGATGACGACATTATGGAGGACTGTTATTTTCTTCTTTGCATCTTTATTATTTTCTTCAAATTTTCTAAATTGAATATACGTGTGTTTCTAAATCAAATACTATTTTTTAAAATTTGTACAAATTTTGTCCTTCCCCAAACATGAAGTTGCTATGCTTTTCTATTTAGAAAGGATTTCTTTTATTAACGCCACATTCTCTAGTTTTCCAATGAAAATTAATGTGTATAATTACTGTTATGTATTAATAAGCGGTTGTTTTATTGATGTTTAATTAAATGATTAAATTAATTAAATTATTTTTTGTGTCAAGGATTATTTTAGTATTTCTGTGACTTCAATGTGGGACTCATTGAAGGTTAACAGAGAATTAGAAGGAATCAAATGTCTTAAAACTTTCTTCATGGACAATATCAATACAGTATCATTTTTACATTGAAGTGAATACTCCAATATGCACACACACACACACACACACACACACCAGAAGTTCCAAAAATTCCAGTCATCTCCCAAACCTTCTATTCAAAGTTATGAGTCTTAAAACCATCATAAAAGCAACATGCATAGGAAATAAATATGAATCTCCTATTGTTGTCAACAATAATTCATTCTGAAAAGCTAAAGGATTTTTTTTCCAAAGGTAATTTAATCATACATAACACCTAGTTACCTAACCTTGACAAATAGTAAATGCAAAAAAATAAACCCAACGGGCATGTTTATGAAATATAGAACCTTAAGTCATCCACCAGGCTTGTATGAAGAAACTAGATTTTCAAAATGTATTCCATTTAAACAATTGTAGGCTAAGTCACAGCACCAAGGCAGACTGTAAAGAAACAAACAACCTCTCTCCTGCATTCACATGCAGTCTTACTTTTTTCTAAATATTTACTTGTTTCCATTTGCCAAGATGCTGTTTTGGGGAAAGAGTGTTTCGTGCCAGGCAGCTGCAGAGAGTAAGATGAGATCTTTTATTTGTCTATCAGTTAATATCCTAATATCCTAAGCCCTTTATCAATTTTGTTTTAGTTACACATGCAATCCTGATCTCAAATGAGAAAATTCTACTTCAGCACAGATACACTTTTATTTCCAATATTCCAAACAATGACTAAGCTGGTTTGTACCCCCAATCACTCCACCTGGATTCCCTCCTATTTTTCATGGTGACACACACACAAATGATTGTTAATATCCTTTCTACAAATTGACTCCCAGTTACATTTCTCTTCAGTTAATAGCTTGCAGTAGGCAGGCATGAGACCATAGAAACATAATCTTTAATCTTAAGGACTTCCTGTCCAGGAAGGCTCAGGGCAGACCAAACGGCACCAAGCAAGCAGCGTGACCTGCGGTGGCTCCCAGTGTGAATAAACAACCCTGATTAAGAGTTACATTCTGTTAGGGGTATTCTCAATGTTTCTGCAGCAGAAACAGCTATCTTGCCTACAGTGAAATTTCAGTTCCTTTCCCCTGGAATAAAACGAAGCCTGTTCACAGGGTAAATGCACCAGAGTGTTGGATTTCCTTTCCTGGGTTAGAGAAACACAGTAATTCTGTTATGGTTCTTCCCTGCTTGCACTTAGAAACCACTCAATAAGGGGTGGGGGGAGGAGAGGCTGCTGGAGCAGTTCTACTTAGACCCAGCTGTTAGTTTTTCTTGCAGCTCCACTGTCCTGCAACATCTGCCTCTTTGCTTCCCCCCTGAGCTTTCTAAAGCTCCTATCACGTGCCTCAGCCACATGCTGAACCCTGTCCCTCACCTCACAGCCTGCAACCGCGCCGGCCCTGCACTCCACTCCCCAGTCTCTCTGGCTTCTCCCGGGATCCTCTACTTCACCCATGAGAAGCAGCTACTCTTCTGAAAACAATGGGCTGCAAAATGAGAAAAGTTAGGAATCAGCATCAATTTCTCATAAATCTAATCTCCAGTTTCTCACCAGTCTGAGATCTGTGTACAACACACACATCCTGTGGGAAATGCTTGCTTATGTCCATGGGCCTAAACTGACTCAGTTGGTTTTTCTCCTTGGTGAAAAGAATATAATTCAGCAGAACTGCAGAAGGAGGTTATTAGGAATGGGCAGATTTATTATAGTTTCTTTTGTTAACCTGACTGGGTATGGGAGGGGAGATATACTTACCCCTAGAAAATACATAGGAATATTTTTCCATGCTAACTTGCAGTTGCTTGCAAAGAACATATAGAACCTATATTTTTACCTTTCTGTAGAAAAATATAGTAAAGGCATTTAAAAGAAAGCATGACAACATGAAATAGGTGTTCATGAACGATAGCCTGAAAGTGTTTTACTCATTTTGATACACTAGGAAAATATGAAATAAGATTTTGTAGATACTAATAAAAACATACAGATATTGCAGTGAAGGTATTATAACCTGTTAACTGAAAACAGCCCAGAAAAAGTTTTCTGTCATTGAAAGGTAAGATTCAGTATGAATCCTTTATTTTAAACTTCTTAGACTCAAACTCACTTTAATGAGACATTTTACTTATTATAAGCAGTATATATTATTTCTATTAATTAAAAACATTATTTCTTACCTTTGTGATGAAAAATTTGAATGTATCATACTGAAACCTAAGAAACGGAAGGATCTTCTTTTAGAATGCTAGTCTTTCAATATTCTTGTCTTCCCATCCTTTCAAGTCCTATGATATGAGTAATATTTCTTAAAAGCTTATCAGATGTCATCATTTAGATCTATGAGCAGAAGTAAGCTTTCTTCTATAATATTTCTACTAACACAGCTCAGATACTAATTACCATGTATAATGTTTAAGGCATCACATAGATTTTAATAAGCACAGATTCTAGATCTGATTATTAAAAATTGGTAATGACTTTAATGACACATATAAACCTGTAGTTGGAAAATAACAGGAATAAAGTGTCTTATCTGTTAACTTCATTTCTTAAAATAAATGAAATCTTGCTAATGTATTTCCTAGAATAAAAGAAAAATCCCTTTTAAAAATTAGTTTCTGTTCTTTATATTAATAATAAAGTGAGTTTAAAGCTTTAAAAAAATGTAGTGAGAATAGAGAGAACTTAGGACAGTAATTGAGAGTCCTGGGTTCCCATCCTGGTGAAGCAGCATGACTCAAACAAATACACCCTTTCTCTGGGCCTCAGTTTCCTTTTCTGTGAATCTCCTCTATGGCATACAAGATCGATGCCAGACCTCGAGGCCAACACTCATACAGTACACGTATCGCTGTTGCAACTACTTTTCATGCACTCACTCAGGCAATCCTCCCAATATCCCAAGAGGTAGGTGCCATCGGGTGAGGAAATGGAGGCACAGACAGGTGAAGTGAAAGTCTCACGTGACAGAGCTTTGATTCAAATCCAGGCTGGCTGCATTGTCTGAGCTAATGACCGCTGCACAGCATTGCCTTTCACTCCAGGGCTCTAGGTCTCCTGTGAAAGACGGCAAGAAAAGGCTCCGTTGGCCAGAAGCCATGAGGCATTTCTACAAATCAAGGAGACTCACTCTGCAAGACATACACACCCTGATCTCACCTTATTGTGATCAAACATCTGGGTTTGGTCTTGTCATCTCACGGGCAGGTAGAGTCCCTTAAGGGCAACCAAAGAGTTGAGTGGCTGGATTCTACCATTTCATCCTCAGTCTTTTAAGTTTCAGAAACTGGATTAAAAAATAAAATTGTATAGGGTGCTTGGGGGAGGTGATTATACTTACAATAGCAGATTTGCACTTGGAAAGATTGATGGGAAATTGTTCCACAAACCCTACAGACACTTTAAGCCGTACAAAGGGAGCCATCTCTTCTTATTTAAGTGCCAGATTCTATCCCTCTATCTAGGACATAGCGGTCCCCCTTTCAGTGGTACTTAAGAAGTCAAATTATTTCTCAATAGCTTATTTAATAAATTCTATGATGGAATCCAAACAGGAGAAATAAAAATGTTGGGAGGATGGTGTTTCATCTGAACTTTGGAAGGGCCCAGTGAAGTGTCCCATCACTCCGGAGACTGGCAAGGCATATCCCTCCAAGACTGAAGTTCTGCCTTAACTGAGGTGGGGTGGGCGGGGATAATCTGCTGCTCTACCCCTCTTGTATTGATACGGAAAATGTCGGGCTTCGGGACCGGCGTAGCTCCACATCTCCGAGGGCCAGAGCGCTGTGCATGGCCAGTTGGAGGGCTCGCTGCTAGGGTGGGGCCAGCGGCAGACAGCCGCGGGGACGCACGTTCCGGAATGCCCCCTAGGCCCACATGCCGCTGCCTGTGTGATCCCAATTGGGTAATTTTTGAATCCCACTGTTTTTGATTGGATGTTAAAGCTTGTTGTTGATTGGATGTTAAAGTTTGATGTTGATTGGATGTTAAAGCTTGTTGTTGATTGGACACTTTTTGAGCCCCACCAAGGGTATAAAAGCAGGAGGAGAACAAGGAAAGGGGAGCAGAAGGGTAAGAACATCGGAAGACAGGAAGAGAGCTGTAACACTAGGTGTGCTGAGCCTGCTGGGGAGGAATAAAGGCTGTTCTCTGACTCTTCATGTGCCACTAGGTTCTTTCCCTGGTCAAATGAATGAGAGCTGTAACAAGAGCTGTCACATTGCCGCAACAATATGCTGATGGTCCTCTTTTCACCCACGGGTTTCCTATGGTTTGCAGATGCTCAGTGCCCTTGATGGAGCTAGCTCCAGGCTGCTGAGCGTGGAGACCACCTTTCTCCTGCAGAGGTGCTGACTTGGCGGATTCAGTTCTCAGAGTTCCCAGGACCATCCAGGGTCGCAGCCGCTGTCTACCTGTAACACAATAAAGATACGATGAACACATAGGATATTTCTCTTTTATGTTCTCTTGCCATTCAAATTTTTTTTGTTTCTGCAGTAATAGTCACAACCTTCTAGAACATTTAAACGATAAAAATTTTCAAGAAAACATTAGTAACTTAATGTGACTCATGTTTTATCAGAATTAGTAAGCAAGTGGCAGCAGTCGCAGCTGAGACGCACTGCAGCTTTCCAAGGCAAATCTCAAAACACGTGATGTTTCCCAGCGCTGACTCCAGCGTGCTCCTGGAGGTACAAGGTCACAGACTTTAAGAAAGGCCTTCGTGTGGTCTATCGCTTCCGCTTCCCCCTCCCCCCTTGGATTGGAGAGTCAGTGTCTAGAACTCAAACTTCCTGTTTTTATCAGTCCATGTTTCTTTTCAAACATTTTGAAATGGTGGGCTAGACGCCAATTCTGTTTTCGGAATACCTTTTATACAAAATCTTTTATTTCCTAAGGGTGGATATTTCATTTTTGCACTGCTTTTAAACAATCAAGATAATTGCTTGAAGATTTAGGAATCGATATACTTTATTATTTTATACATTTAGCTTTCATCTATTTCTAAAACGTTCACACTTCTTTCGAGATCTACTGGGAATACATGCCCCTCTCTCTGCAGCACGTAGTAGCTCTCCAAACCCAAAAAATGACCTGCTCTCAGTGACAAAGGACTCAATGACTTTTTCAGAAGAGAGTGGACTCCGGATGCTGTTCCTGCCCAGTGATTCTGACCTGGCATCATCCTGTCATGATGATAAATTGTATGTACAATTTATAGTTGGAGCAGATGGGAGAGTGTAGGCTATTAAAATCTAAATCTGTTTCCTTGAACAAAAAGAGAATTGTTTACCTCTCAATGAAACATAGATTTCTTATAAAGGAAATTCTGAATTTCCAATTTTAGTAAATAAAGCAATTACGCAAGTTAGAGACACCTAGGCTATAGTAAAATTAAGGTTTGTTCCAAATTATGTTAAATAGAAGGCACTTGTTCATTTAGTCACCAAGTGCATTGAATGCCGACTAGCTTCCAGGAACACAAAGATTTACCAGAAAAAATGCTGTAAGAATAACCAGTATTTCCCTTTCCATTGAATACCTAATTTGTGGGCAAATAAACCTATGGCATGTTACCTAAGCCCAAGTACATAGAAGCTGTTTTAAGATGTGCTGTACAATGTCAAGAAGGAGATAGGACACATTTGGGCTTAAAAATAAAACTAATTAATTATAATTATAAATTCACCAATCCACAAGGGTATTCAAAAACCCAGATTTCAAAATGTAAGCCCATATATGGGGAAAACATAATGTAAAAGTTAAAATAAACTCCAATGTTTATTGACTTTAGAATATTATTTCAGCCACAACTAAACCAAAAAAGAGGATTTTCAGATCCAAATGTATTGACTTATTCATTTACTGTTAATTCTCTTCATTCAGCAACTAGTGATTGAGCACTGGATGGTATTGTGGAAATTTCTGAGAAACTATCACTAACATGTTATTGATCCCAAAAGTCATCCTAGTCCCAGAATTCCCTCCAGGGACTTAGGTGTACCTTTGCTGGCCTGAATGGCTTTATTCATCCCCATTGGTTATATGGCATCCAAGAAAGCACCAATTAAAAAAAAAATCTATGTATTACCCTACTATGTGTTGGACACTTTTCTTTTATTGTCACTTACCTCCAGGATAATTCTGAAAAGTAGGAGGTGTCATTGCTCCACTTTACAATCAACCACCCTGTGCTGTAGGCAGGAATATTTTGCCCAGTGTCAGACCCTAAGTGGCAGAACCAGGACTTGAACTCAGGTTTCGCTGGCCCGCAAGTCCCCCTGTCATTTCATTGCACCACACTCTCTCCCAGAGAAAGGAACATTGCTCTCCATCCAGGCCAGAGTCCAAGCCAAAGCTCTGAATTTTTACAGAAGAACGTACACTGTTCCACTTCAATGTCGGTATAGATTTTTCTTTAATGAGTAACAGTGCAAGCATCATGTTTCAGAAAATTTAACTGCACACTCCCTGTGGGCCAGCGCTTCCCAGAACTCCCCACCCACTATTTGAAGGGCCAATCCAAGGGACAAATATGGATTGATGCATTTCTCTACATCTTCTAAGTTATAGCCCTTAATAGTCATCCTATCAAAAACCCAAACAATCAGATTATATTATCTTCGCTCTTTTACAGAAAATTCATTACATAGGTGGAAATTTAACATAACGTCCTGGGATTTGAGGGGATGGTGTAAAAGGCATTCATTACCAGAATTCTCTCATTTAGCAAATCTTTACTGAGTCCTTCCTTATGGGACCCTTGTACCTGAAATAAGACGGTTGAGCAAAAGTAGATTTGGTCACTACTCTCATGTAACTCACATTCATTTCTTTCAAAATACAGGTAATAATCACACAAATTACAACTGTGCTAAGTACATTGAAGGAGAGAAACATGATGTTCTGAGGATAGATAGCAATGGGATTTGGCCTAGGGAGGAAATTCTCCTGCAAAACCAGGGTCAAAATGATCTAGCACAATATATTTTTGCTAGGATCCACACATGAAGCATGCTTTGTAGAATTAAGCCAGTTAAAAATATGTTTCACTACTTTTTTGTCTTTTTTCTTCTCATCTGACACCAAAGACCAAATCTAATCTAATCTAATCCAGGCTAATCCTTTTTAAAAACTTATTTCCAGAAACTTAAAGCTAAATTTGCTTCTCAGCATTATTGGAGTGTGATTCATTCTTTCTTCATTGAGTTAACTTTGTTCTCTTTGTATTTTAATTGCTGCATTTTTGATATTCTTCAACATTTAATGTGCTTCAAACTTTTTTTCGTGAACTGAAAGTACAAGTGAAAAATATTAGTAAATAACTTATTTTTAATTTTCACCTGATTGATCTGTTGCTAGATTTTTTTAAAAAACTGTAACCCTGGTGGAACCTCAATTAAAAACTGCAAATTCCTTTAGGTTTTTGTGAAGATTTCAAAGAGGCATTAATGGATGACTTCCTAGCTGACCCCAGGGCAGTAAACATTTTAGAACTATGGAGACCACAGGGCTTAAACATCCTTCAGGAAAATAAGGTAAAACTTGGTAATAATCTACCTTTCACTTTACAACTTTTACTATTTATACTACAAGAGTTCCAATTTGGAATAAGAGTCTTAATTAACATTCCACCTTAGGCTGGAACAGTGCAATCTGATCTGAGTACGCTGCTAACTTGTTCCTTTCCAATCTAGGCATAGGAGTAAGAAAAGAGGGTAGTCGGGTCCTCAGACATGTGTGAAGGGCAGGGGCCACTGCTGACAGGCGAGGGGTCCACGGAAAATGCAGCATCAACTTCAACATCTTCCAAACAGACAGATGGAGAACTGGCGCTAAGAGGCACAAACACGCCTTGAGTTGCTCATACTTAGAAAGTGTTCATTTATGAGATGTTTAATACCTAAGTATCGTACGAGCTATTTGAGAGTTACATTAGTCACACTTGGAGGAAATAGCAGATTTGGTGTCTGCCTGCTTACCAGCTACCTTTACCAAAAGAATTTTTCATTTAAAATAGTAATAACCTTTTTTATTTTTTACCCCTTGGTCTTAAATGATCTAATATCCTTATACCGTGACCTTTTGCTGACTTTATGAAATATGCTGATTAAAGAAAAAGTTCTTTTCCTTACATGACAAAAATACATTTGCTATACTTGGTACATACTCTCTTTTAAAAGACAATATCCACATCAACCAAAAAGTGAATGTTTTCAATCTTTCTGGAAGTTAAATATATGCTTATAAAAGTTCAAGGTCCTTGGAATAAAGCCAGCAAAGTTTTGATGGCCTCAGCCTATCCAATTCCTACATTGTCTTCCTACCTTGTTAACAGTATATTTTGGACACTGAGTTGGAGCATTGAGAATGTGCTCCCATCACTCTGGGGAGTGTGGAAGATGCTCCATCAATGAATGACTCAAATGCAGTAAGAATGTTTACATGGTAATTGTAATGGTAACATTTCATTTAAGCAAATTGTTTCTATTCTGCCCAATCTTTATTGTGTCACGAATGGCTATCCTTCTAATTCCATTTCTGTATTGGACATATGCGAGGGCTATTGTGAAAAATGAACTTGTCATAATAATGTGAACCTGATCACATCAATAACTCACTCGAATAGTCTTTTTTGTACAATTATTTTATGTTGTACATATATTTTTCTTGGTTGCAAAAGTTTGAAAACTGCAAAGTGACATACTTATGGTCCATTTGTTTATTAAACATTAGGAAAATAAATTAAAACCAAATCATATTCAGATTGGGAATAATTAAGAAGTAGCAATGCCTTCATTGGTCCAACCTTAGTACAACTTTTATAAACAAAATTAAATA